GGAGGCTGCTGTGTTGGCAGATCATCTCCCATGTATATGATCTCTCCTCAAACCCTCGAATCCCCCATCCCCCAGTCCTGGCCCCCAGTGCTCTGTGGCTGCCTCCCAACTGGCCTCCCTCAAACCAGCCTCCACTCACAGCAGTGATCTTTCTAGAGCATCCATCTCATCAGATCACTTCCCTGCCTTAGAAACTACTCACCACTCCCCAGTCCCTCCGAGTCAACGACAGAACCCCTGGGCAAGGGACCCAGACCCTCTGAGATGCTCCCCAATGGTCTTTTCCACTTGTGCTCTCTCTGCCCCCCCAGGCTTCAGCCAACACGCACCACACTTGCACTTGTTGCCACTGGGAATGTCCTTTACTCTTGTTTCCATCCAGCAGACTCCTACACATCCTTCAATGGCCGACTCATTTGTTCCCTCTTTTGTCATGCTTTCCCCAACAAACTCCGGCAGAGTTAGTGGCTTCTTCCCCTCTGTCCACACAGCCCTCTGTAGCAAAGTGTTGGGGCCCCATATGAGGCAGAGGTTATACGCTTGGGTAGCACATGGAACAAACTCAAATATGGTCGACATTAGTTTTGAAAATCCCTTAGGAATGTTCTCCGGCATGCCTTGAGAAGTGAAAAGAAGCAAGGAGCCCTATCCGCTATCCAGGAGTGTGGATAGAATGCCCTTTTTTGCATAAGAAGGGGCAGGGGCAACAAGAGGTATTCATATCTGCTTGTGTTTCTATCAGAGAACAAGTGTTTACCTGGGGAGGGGGTAGGGAGGGGAGAGGGTAGGTGGGTGGGTAACAAGATTTTAATGATATGAGTTTGTGAGTTGTTGGGAGTTTTGAACCATGTGAACGTATTTACTATTTAAAAGAAAGAAAGAGAAAAAGAAAGAGGAAGAGAGGGAGGGAGGGAGGAAGAAATGAAGGAGATGGGGATGGAGGGAAAGAAAAGGCAAGCTCTCCCGGGAAGCCCCCTGTGTTTGAGTCCGTCCTGCGGGGGCTCCACCTGCCTATTTCTCCCTCCAGCCTTCGATGACCCAGATGAAGCGATGGGCTTGGGTTCCAGGCCCACCACGTATGAAAAATGTGAATTCTTAATAACTCAGATCCCCTCCGGTGGGAGATGCCCACTGGATGCCCACAAGATGCCCACGCAGTGAACGGTTCTTGGGATCTGAGGGAACAGAGGGTCCCAGCTCCCACCTCTCTCCTCCCTCCCAGGTGTTTGTTCACTAAGGGAGACAGTGGCTCAGTTCTTTTTCTTTCTCTTTTGCTGCTGAGCACATACACTTCAGTTCGTGTGGGTAAAATATGCCCATGATGCACCCCCACCGTGCAGTGCAGTGGTTTCATATTGGGGCTTTGGAGGTAGGTAGAGAAGTTGTGCCAAGCCGTGTGACTTCCGGCTAGTTACTAACCTCTCCAGACCTTGGTTTCCCTATTTATAAATGAGGGAAGATAATACCTTCTCAGAGAGCTCTTATGTGGATTATATGAAATAACACACGCCTGGCACATAGTAATGCCCCCCACCATCGTCGTCTTCACCATCATCATCACCACCAGCACTCCCATGGTGATATACTGCAGTTACTGGTCTCTGTGTCTCCCCCAGAGACTTTAAACTCCCCAAGGGAAGGGCCAGGTTTCATTCCTCTCTGTGCCCCAGGCCAGCATAGAGCCCAGCTGCACACGGGCACCCAGGCTAATGAGTTATTCTCCAGCCCTGAGCCCAGCATCCCAGCACCCACGGGTGCCTGTGCTGTTGGGGGACGGACAGGCTGCTGTCTCCAGATCTCAGAGCTGAGCTGGGGCTCTGGCAGTGACCAGCAGTGTGGCTCCAGTGGGCACAGGGATGGGAATGGGTTTCCACTGGAAGCGTCATGGTTAAAGCTCAGACTCTGAAGCTAGACAACACGTTTTGAAATCCCAGCGTTGTCACTTTTTAGCTGTGTGATTCGGGCATTTTACTTAACCTCTCTGGGCTTCAGTTTTCTCACCTATGAAATAGAGTTGGTGGGGGCATTGACTGTCCTCAGCCTCTTCTCTTATTGGGCTGGACCACCCTTTACCTCGTGAGCCACCAGGTTTCTTGCTCTGTCTTTGCTCATGCCATTCTGTTGACTTGCAATGCCCTTCCCTGTCCACTCCCATAGCCAACTCCTATTCATCCTTTATGACCCAGCTGAGGCATCACCTCCCCACGAAGCCTTCCTGGATGGCCTCCCTCCGGCTGGGCCAGGGATCTCCTGGGCCCCATACATTCCCTGTGCACCGTCCTCTCACTGCGCTTGCAGAGCCATAAAATTGCTGCGGTGCCTCCGTCCTCGGATATGGCCCCTCCCCATACCAATGCTTCTGAAATAGGGATTCAGCTGCCACGTCCGCTTAACATCTTGGTGTTGCCTCTCCCAGATCCTTGAGGTGTGTTACAGTGCTAGGTCTCTTAAGAGTGGAGGGTAAGTGCACCTGCATAGGTGTGCGGTTCCCTGCGGCTCCCGCTCCTCGGGTCAATGTCACTCATCTCAGCCTCTCAAGTCCCAGCAGGGGCTGGTTCAATAACGAATGGGCCGAGTCCCCCGGAGGCATAGAGATGGGGAGGAAGGGCCGTCTCCATGAGCAGCCATCACCCAACCAAAGAGCCGGCTCTGGCAGGGGGCCTTGTGGGTCTGGACCCTGGCCCTCAGAAAGTCCCCTGCCCTGTGTGACCCTGGTACCCCAGACTGCCCAGAGGCTGGGAGGGGACAAGGGAGACATGTCTCGGTTTCCCAGTTTCTCTTGGACTGATGGCTCTTGGGGGAAGGGGCCAGCGATGGGGGAGGTTGCTCTGGGGAGAAAGGAGGAAGAACTCAGAGGGTGTCACCATCTCCCTGTCTGAGCCCCTCAGTGGGGGCAACTGTGACTCGGCTGTTAGCTCTCTGAGTGACCGTGGACAAGTCCTTTCCCCTCCTAGCCCTCAGCGTCCTCATCTGTAAAATGAGAGTGGGATGAGATGTTCTCCACGCCTCCCCCAGCACCAATGCGCTAAGACCCCACGAATTGCTGTTTTCTCTTTTCCTCCCCTTTCTCCTTTTAAAGAGATCTCTCACCTCTATTGATTGATCTACCAATGAGAGGGGACATGTATTGCCAAGCCTCTAACCCTTGCCACCACCTCTCTAGTTCCTATACTGCCATGTACACTTCAACAGACAAACTTGACAGCAAAGGCTCAGAGACGTTGAGTGGCTTGCCAGAGGCCACACAGCCAGGATGGGGTGCAGCGGGGATTCGAACCCAGTCTGTCTGACAAAAAAGGCTTTCACAGACTGCCCTGGGAGTCTGTCCCCACCCACTCCAGTGCTGGCTCCTCCCCTAGGAATCCCCCCGCAGGGCGCAGGGAGGGTTCAGAGGTCCTGAGGAGGAGGGGGGCTCATCACAGCGGCAACCACATCCTGTGACGGTTGCCCTGGGGAGTGCCAGCTTTCTCTGCACCTCTGGGACAGGTGAACGGAAAGCAGGTCCTGCTCAGCCCTGCAGGGCAGGACCCACAGCTCGGAGGACACCTGAGCCCCGCCTTACCCCACAGGCATAGCCGGGCATGCGCCATTGCAGTTGGGCAAAATCCCAGCCTCCGGATGAACCCACTGCACAGTCCCCTCCATATCCACCAGCCTTGTCTCCAGCTCCTTCTGGGCCTGGGGTCAATTCCTTTGCCAGGCAGCCCTGAGAATAAAACCCCCTCGAATTACCCTGCCTCGGGAGCTTTTGGAGGCCCAGGTCAGAACTTATTCAGTGCAGCACACCCGGCGGCCTGCACTGAGCCAGGGCTGGTGAGGGGCAGATTAGGGAGTGGAGAGGCTGCCCGACTCACGGTGTCTTTCTTGGCGTCTACCTCCTCCAGACGGGCAGGCGTGAATCTTCTTGTCCCTGCATCCCCAGCATTTTCACAGTGCCAGACCATGGTAGGTTTTCCAGTTTCCCCTAACACACCCACCTCGATGGTTAGATGCCCCCACCCAACACACACACACACGCGCACACACACACGCACATGCACACGCATGCAAGCACACGCAGTCTGGGTTCTGTGAGTTCAAGGACTTGTCACTCCACGCCTGGTTTCATTCAGCAATTAGTTTAATCTCGGGATACTCAGAACAGGACACCAGAAGCTGGCCCTGAGCCCTGGGCCTCTCTCTGGAGGCTTCCTGGACACGTTTCCAGCTCTCAGTGCAACACGGCATGTTCGTGCACTCTGCCGGGAGGCACCCATCGATCCAAGCAGACAGATGGGGATTCAGGTCTGAGTGCAGCCCCTGGGCCCCTCCTGGCAGACATCTCTGTGCTTCTGCCCCCACAGGGACTGGACCCCCACTCTGGGTCATGGGGGCGCTGGATGGGACAATCTTTGTAATTGCAGGAAGCTCAGAATGAGGATCTGTGGTCCGGGGACAGTCACAGCAGAACGGGGCTATGCCCCTGATGGGCTCCGAGGGTCTCTAGAGGCAGGGCCGGCCTCAGGCTCCGCCCCTTGGTGGTGGAAGGAGCAGCTGTCCCTCCCACTGTCAGCTGGACTCCCTGCCCAGGTGCAGGTACCGACTTGAGCAAAGCCCTGGTCAGCCATGCCACTCCCACCCCCGCATCCACCTGTCAGATCGACAGCCTCTGCACCTGGGGCCTCCCCAGGCAGCACTGGGACAGGGCCTGTGGGCTCCTCGCAGTACCTCTGGGCCCTGAGCTGTCTGAGACTCAGGGAACCAAAGCCCCAGACCCCCGAGAGTCGGAATGGCCTCAGGAGTCATCCAGTCTGACTCCTCCAGGCAGCCTGCCAAGAAGTGGCCCAGACTTTGCTTGTTCATCCCTGAGACAGAGAGCTCACTACCTATCACAGGCAGCACCCTCCACCCTGGGGCTGCTGTTTGGGGCTGGGGCAGGGCTGTGCCAGCAGTTCTCTTTGATGGATGGAGGCCGAGCAGTATGGGGTGTGGAGTTTCTTTTTGTCTCTCCGGGGGAGGCTCTCAGCCCCCTGGGGGACATCTGAGAGGATGGACGGGGTGGGAGAGGGGAGTAGGTGGAGCAGGAGTCCAGTGGGAGGGAGCTACCCGCTGCCTCGCTGGGCCCGGTCTAGGCTGAGCTGATGTCATCGTAGTCTTCATTGTTGGTGGATTCAGACTGGGCACTGGGGGATCCTGTGCGGCCAGGAGGCTCAGGTCAGTGAGAGGCCCAGTCATTGCCCCTGCTGCCCCAGGGGACAGAGCTGAGTGGGTCTGGGTTCCCCTCCCCCTCCCCTGTGATGCTGCGTGAAACCATCTTATCATCTGGCTCACCACCATCTCCCTCGCTAGGGTGTCAGCCCTGAGGGCAAAGCCTTCAGGGCTGTAGTCCCCACACTGCCACCAAATGTGATGGACAACTAAGTGCTGGGAGCCCCCATGCTACCACAGTCTCCCCCAAGGGGCCATTGGGCTGCTCCTGCTTGAATGACTCCACTAATTGGGAGCTCACTCCCTCTCAAGGCATCCTCTTTGAATCTTTCTCCATCCCATCCACATCCATTTTCCCCGCCTCCTCATATTCTTGTTTGTTAAAATAAAACATCCCTTTATCTCCTTTTCCCCTGGGGCTGATATATCCAACCGGTCCAGAGCTCCCCCACTCCCCAGTCCCTCTTCCTCCCCGCTCCCAGGATGCCCTCCCCTGCCACGGGCACCTGGGCACTCCAACTGCTCCTCAGGAGGGGGCGGGGGCGGCGGCTGGAAGTTCTGGTACCACTCCCCGGATGAGGTGCTGGAGCTGTCGTCAGCCGAGGGCCCTGCTGGAAACCCCCAGAACCAATCACCCTCTGCCAGGAGACAGCCCGTTCACACACTGCTAGAGCTGGGAGGCCCTCACGACTCAGTAGTGTCAAGTCCCTATCTTGACAAAGGAGGAAATGAAGGGCCAGAGAGGGGAAGAGACTTGTCCAAGGTCACACAGCAAATGGCTGCCAAGCTGGGACAAGAATCCTGACCTCAGCTTGGTTCAGGGCTCCCAGCTCTATGCTTCCTCCAGCCAGGGTGGCTACAGGATGGGAGGTTGGGGGACACGCAGAATTCTCCTGGGCACAACTTACCAGAAAAAGTTGTCTGGGAGCCGGCCAGCTCCAAGTTCGGGGGCGGCTCTAGGAAGGGGCTCTTCTCTGAAGAAAACGCCTGAGGGTTCCATAGAGGTAGCCTGCTGCTGGGGCTATTGCAGTAGTCTTCCCCGGAGGATGTGCTGGACCCACTGTTAGTCCTCGGGTGGTGCTGAGGGCCCAGGGAGGGGGGGTCTGCCATGCAGTGTCCAGGGTTGGCAGGGGGCACCTGAGAGGCATGCATCTCTTCAAGTCCTGAGCCAGGAAAGGGAGAATGGTGAGGAAAGAAGCGGCAATGCAGGAAGGCTTTAAGTTAGACTTGAGAAAGAATTTATTGCCAATAGGAATTGTGAAACCCGGGAGGGACCTATTGAGGGAGGTTGCTGCCGGTGCTTCTCAAGGTCAGCTGAGCAGCTACATCTGGAGGCAGCGCTGGCATCTCGATCACCCCCCGCCACTCCCCTCCCCAGCCCGACTCACCTTCCTCCAAGGGGGGCATCTGGAACCTGCTCTGCTGGACCTCCTCATCTGTGAGCCGGTGCCGCTGGGAATCTAGAAGCAGAGCGGTGATGAGGAGCGGTAGAGTATCAACTGCCTTGTCCTGGGGGCCTGCAGGAGGGGCTGTGTGCCTTGGGGCTCAGGAAGGTGCCCCTGAGGCTCATCAGGGCTAGAGGATAACCCCAGGGTACCGGGGGCTTCGCCTTTCCCATCAGATCCCAGGCTCACATCCTAGTCCATGCAGACCTCGAATCTCAATCTGAAACCAGCATGGGGACAGGCTGCTTCTGGCCAGAGACCCTTGTGTCCTGCCCGCCCTGCCCCCAGCTGCCCCTTCTGCTACTTCGGGAAATATCGAGAGTCCTGGGTTCTCTCCTGGGCTGAAAAAGGGCAGACGTTGCCGCTTCGAGGAGCCTTCCCAGAGCAGAAACCGGAGGGTCTGGAATCTTCGCCCCAGGCTCTGTGGCACCTTCGTTTCCGAATCAGAGAGAAGGACATTCACAGGGTCTTAAGGACTTGAGCGTCTGGAATCTTGGAGTCGGGGCTGCCGAACCAGGTGCCCCTTACTTTCAGTCTCAGTGTCCTAGGATTTTGGACTCTCAGTCTTGCATCTGATATGCCTGGGCTCAGAATCCCAGGTTCTAAGGACACTTCATCCCTGTGGCTCCCATGGACCAGCAGAAGTGGAATCATTGGTGTCCCACTCCCAGAGGCCCTGATTCAGCAGGTGGGGCAGAGATGGCTAGCTGTCCCCAATATCCATTCTCCCCTCTGTAGTAGGAGACCCTCTGGCCTTTATCTGAACACACAGCTGCCCAGGACAGAGCCTCTCTTGCAGCTGGTGGGTTTAAGTTCTGGTCGGCAGAACATGAGTGGCAGCCACGTGGGCATCTCCAGCGTCCTGCCTTACAGGGTAGGGCATGTCCCACCTTCCCTTCCCTTCCCTTCCCACTGAGCAGAATGCGGACATGGGGATGAGCCACTTGATGAGGGCAGCATCTTAGGGACTGCAGAGCAGCAAGAAAGAAGGAGCCTGGACTCCCGCCAGCTTCTCAGGACACTGTCATTTGGGGGTCTCTGTCACACGCAGCCAAACTCTAACTTATATAGTAGGTCCTGGGTGGGAGTCAGGAATTTTTGACAAGCTCCCAAGGGATTCCACAACAGGCGTGGGACTCTTCGCTCTCGTTCAGCCTCACAGCATTGCGTGGGCCCTGCCTTAAGCACTGTCTTTCCTCCTCCTATCCCCAGCAGGCAGAGAAGAGCTGGAAAAGCCAGCTAAGAGGTGCAAGCCGGGCTCACAGCAGAGGGAGGGAAGGGGGTAAGGTTGATGGGGCAGGATGGGCCCCAGAAGGGGTGTGAGCGTGCAGGAAGCCATCCACACTCTGTCTCTTGCCTGGACTATCTTGTACGTTACACAGACACAGCCACCACTGAGTGGACATCCAGAACTGGTCTTAAGACACGGCCAGAGACAAACATGGGCGAGAAGGAGGTTGGAGTGGAATCGCCTCGAGACATCGAGATGTCTCCAGGGTCACAAAGCACTTTGAAAACTTCCACTACAACTGTCTACAGTCAATCTGGTGGGTAATAACAAGGGGAAATTCCACCTCCTCTCTCGGTCCGGGCTGGGGGGCCCTCAGGAGCCCCGGCCCAGGCACTCACTGTAGAAGGTAGTCAGGGCCACGGGAGGCTGGGCGCTGAAGTCATAGGGTTCATAGTCTGAGTCCAAGCTGGAGTCCGAGTCCTCAGGGGGCGGGTTCTGGACCTGGACAGGCAGATTGGGAACTGGGGAGAGAACAGAGTGGTGCGCATGGCAAAGAGGTAGGCAGAAAGGGGCAGGGAGAGATGGCAGAGAGCATGGATGGCAGGGACCAGAGACAGTGGCAGGAAGGGTGCCAGGTAGCCCATCTTGTACAAGACCATCCGGCCTAGGTTTTCCAAGCTTCCCCCACCCATTTCAAACATGGGGAATTAAATAACACTTATTTATTTAACATAACTTACATAGCAGTCATTATATGCCGGGCACTATTCTAACGTTTATAAATATTATCTCATTTAATTCTCATCACAGGTCTGTGAGTAGGTACTTTATTATACCCACTTTACAGCTGAGGAAACTGAGGCACAGCGAGTTTCTCACCTTGCCCAGAAAAGCAGGCAGTGTGGTTCTTAATCTCTAGAGCATAATCTTCAGTGAGCAAATGCTCTGTGCCTAACTCGTGCTAGGTTCTGTATTCAAATTCTCTTCTCAAATAGATGGATACGGTGCACAGAGAATATTTATAATATTTGACTGAATTTTGTATTGGTTTTCATGTCATTGGAAGCTTTCAAATAAAGGTGATTTAATACACTCATCATGCACTGCGATTAAGCTCGAACTCCTTTATAAGACTTCCAAGAGGTGTAAATCCACGTATCATAAAAGATGAAGGACTGATCCAATTTTTTTTTTTTTTTTTGGTGAGGAAGATTAGCTTTGAGCTAACATCTGTTGCCAATCCTCCTCTTTTTGCTGAGGAAGATTGGCCCTGGGCTATCATCCGTGCCCATCTTCCTCTACGTTATATGTGGGATGCCTGCCACAGCATGGTTTGAGAAGCGGTACATAGGTCCTTCCCCAGGATCTGAACCTGTGAACCCCAGGCCTCCAAAGCAGAGCTTGCAAACTTAACCACTACACCACCGGGCAGGCCCCTGATCCAATTTTTTTTTCATTCAGAAAATATGAAATCAAATTACGTTCCAGGAAAGTCTTGATGTGGCTCTGCAGGGAGGCTGATGAGCAGGCCATGGAAAGAGGCGATGATACCACAAACTTACTAGCCAATTGGCAGAGGGAGCTTCCCAAAGGCAGCCAAGGTCCAAAATGCCCTGGGCCTGTACTGGTCCAGAACTCGAAGGCCCTAGACACCCAGAACGATGCCCTGGAGGGTCATCTGCCCCTCAAGGCCCAGATTGAGGCCTGACATGCTCAGAGTCCCATAACCACGAGTGGCCTGGCCCAGGTCCCATCTCCAGCTGGGACACTGCTTTGACCTAAGCAATACTGACCCCCCAGAAAGTATCCCCTTCCTGTCCTCCCCAGCTCTCCCCACCCGCAGGGTGGGTGACACCCTACCTTCTTTGGGGATGATGGTGGGGACGTCTTGATAGCTATTGATCCCTGCTGTGGTGGTGGTGGGTACGTGTTCATGGTTCACCATAGCGGGGAGGGCTGAGGGAAGGGAGGCAGAGATTCTACAAGTCATTTTTTGCCCTCTCTCAGTCTATCAGGTTCTGTTCTCATCGAGACACCTCCCTCCTCACCCACCCTTCCAAATACACACAAACACAGTCTGGTCCTCCCATGGACCACTTCTGCTGGGCATGCTGGGAAAATCCCTCCCATCAGGAGGTGCTCCCAGGGCCAGGGCTGGGTGGCCATTGCTGGATCACTGCCACTTCCGCTTGGGTCCCACAAGGCTCATATCCCCCTGGGAGGGCCACCCCTCAGGCCAGCTCCTTCCCATCCCTGGGCCTTCCCAGTGGCTCCCAGAACTCTGCACCTACCGTATTTTCCTTTAACTCTCAAGAGGATGAAGGCTATGGTGATGAGTGAGCCAAGGAGGAGAATTCCCAGAATGATGCAGAGAATGAGGAGCATGAACTCCCGAGATACCCAGTCCTCTGTATTCACCATCAAAGAAGATTCTAGAAGCAAGAACCCCAAATCAGAGAGAAGGAGGAATGGACATAGACTTCTCCTTGCCCTTCTTCTCGCCTCTCCATCCTCTCTGCAGATGACCCACTTCCCTTTTAGACCTATCCTCCACCTCTCTTCCTTTGCCTGGTACATAGTAGGTGCTCAAGAAATGCACACTGAATGATTAATTAACTGAATGAAACTTTCTCCTGGCCACCAGCCCACGGGTTCAACAATTATTGAGCACCCACTGTGTGCCAGATGCTAGACCCTGGGGAAACAAATGTGACAACAGCATCATAGGCTTTGAGGGTCTCTGTCTAGTAGGGAGATCAAGTCAACTCAATCCAATATGGTGAGATGCCTGCTGTGATGGAGGAAGGGACAGGGACCTGGGGGCATGAGGTCCTACATGGGGCTCTAATTCTCTATCGGGAAGACCAAGCTGGATTCCCAAAGAAGGTGACTCTGCATCACCCCCGGCAGTAAAAAGACCTTCAGGAGAGCTAGCTCTCCCTTCTGTGCCCCAGACGCATCCTTCTAACCAGACATGCACTCCCTGAGGGCAGGGGTGAGAGCCGTGATTCCAGACCTCCCAGCTCTGCAGCTCTGGTGTGACTTCCTGCCTGCCCCTCCCTCTTGGGCCTCACCCCTGCTTAAAGGAACCCAAAGCACAAGAATGGATAGAGATGCAACCAGGCAGGAGCTTGGCACGCTCATCATCAGAGAGACAGGAACCGTCTCCTGCTCAGGGCATAAGACCAGGGTGTACAGAGCACAGGGATAGATGAAGGGTGCCGGGGGGATGAGATCATCCTGACCCCCTGGCTGGGGGCAGTGTCTGCTCCCCCTGGGAGATTACCCCCTCCCTGTCCTCATTTTTTCTCCTCCCCTTTCTGTCTGCAAAGGGGGCAGTTTGGGCCAGGGTGGGAACTGGCTTTAGCAGGAGGAAGCAGTGCAAGGGAGAGGCTGGGCTGTGGGGGCAAGGGGCGGACCCGTGAATCTGGGCCGGCCCCTGTGGGTATCCCGGGGCTGCTAAGGGGCTCTATGTCTGACTAAATAATACAATACACAGTAAGCGCTGTCTGGGCATCAGTTATTCTTTTTGTTGTTGTTGTTGGTGAGGAAGACTGGCCCTGAGCTAACATCCGTGACAATCTTCCTCTTTTTGCTTGAGGAAGATTAGCCCTGAGCTAACATCTGTGCCAGTCTTCCTACATTTTGTATGTGGGATGCCGCCACAGCACGGCTTGACGAGTGGTGCAGGTCCACACCCGGGATCAGAACCCACGAACCCCGGGCCGCTGAAGCGGAGTGCACAAACTTAACCACTACACCACTGGGCTGGCCCCTCTTATAAAGATTTTACAAAAATTATTTCACTGGAGACTCACAATAACGCTAGGAGAGAGTTTTTATATTTTATAGTCAAGGGATCTGAGGCTCAGAGAGGTTAAGTATTGCCCAACATTACACAGCTAGGAAGAGGCACAGCCAAGATTGGAGCCCCGGGAGTCTGCCCCAAAGCTCGCCAAGTTACACACAGCTCGTGGAAAGACCAAGCACGGATCTGGAGTTTAGGGCCTTGGATGCAAATTCTGGCCAATACCCGCTGGCTGTCACTTCACCCTCTGAGCCAGAGCTTCTTCCTCTGTGTAAAGGTTATAATGAGACCTTCCCATGGGGCTGGGGGAGCATTAAAGGGTTGGGAAATAATGACTATAAAGCTCTGGGCCAGTGTCTGGAGCATTATAAACACTCTGGCTGTTGCTCTTGGCATCCCCACCACTGGCCGGAGTCAGACTAGCCCTCCAGGAGCCCACAAGAGAGTGGAGAGAGGACAAAATACCAGGATTCAGGGAGCTGTGGAGCTGACATGGCAGGGAGGGGAGTGGGGAGGAGCGTAAAGTGCCCAGAGAGCGCGGGGGAAGCAAGTCCATAGTCTGGAGGTGGGGGATGGGGATAAACCATCAGGCCCCTCCCACACACACAGGCACACACACACACACACACACACATACACACACACATGCATGCACGCACCCACTCCTCTGAGAAACTGCACACCCAGTGACACTCACCTACAGTGAGCGGCTGGACACTTGCAGGGACCTCAGAAGTGGACAGATTGAGCAAACTCCGGGAACCTGTCAGAAAGCAGTGCTCATTCACTCAGCGCATATTACCGAGCACCTACTGTGTGCCTGGCCTCCTGCTAGAAACTGAACAAGACAGACAAGTGACCTGGAACGGGGGGCGTGTTCCCGTGGGGGCACACAGCTAAGGCCACCCTCCTCTCCCACCCCCGAAATAATGATGCTCTCATGGATTAAATGCTGGGAAGGGTCTTTGCTTCGAATAAAGGGCTGGTAAAAGAATTAGCCCTTCCTTCTGTATAATTTGCTACAGACCACAAATCCCTTTTCCGTTCAGTCTTGGGTTTGTTCTTCACATCGGTCTCAGGAGATGGGAAGCTGATATTATTGTCATTAATCATAATCATTTGACGGGTAGGGGATGAAGCTTATGAAGTCCCTTGGTGGAGAGTATCTGATTTCCCAGCTACCCTGTGAAGCAGCTAGAATCAGCATCCACATATTCACCAGACTGCAGCCCGGGGCTAGTAAATGGCAGGGCTGGAATTCATAGCCAGGTGTTTGAACCCCATGGAGACCCTAATACTGTGTTAATGCAGGTCGAATGCTCTTGATTTTTCACATTTGAACACCTCTGAAATCGGGGTGATGGCATTCATCATTACAACTGATGACATGGCAAGAGTTAATTTTGACAGCATTTTTGTCCTTTAAGGTGATAACGGTGTGACATAGCAATGCCATCTTAGATTTGGTGAAATACCATAGAACCCAGTTCACAGAATGGATGTGAGGCTTAACTGAAATAAGATACACCGAGTGCTTGGCAATGCCCAGCACACGATTTGGGCTCCAAATCCTGTCGCTGATATTACTAGCATCTCCTAATATTATTTTTACTGTGATCATCAGCCCTGGGATAGTAAGTTGGTTTCATCTCCTGAGCCAATTCCAGTCAACAGAGACCACTGTTTAGCATATATTAAGGCCTTAATAAATATTTGATTTGTGACTCTGGGGTTGAGTGGCGGATCTGTGGAAAAGAACGCCCTGATTAATTAGGAACGTCTGCCTGGGCATGGTAAGGGCAATGGTCCCTTGAATGCCAGTATTTGCCGTTCCTGATCTAGTCCAAGCTGTGGTCCAAGTTCTTAGGCTGCGGATTCAGGTGGAATTCCTGGTCCAAATCTAGGGGGAGGGTATGAAGGGGGGCAGGGATACCTGAGCAGAGGACCCTGGCTGCCTGCGACTGGCTGCAGAGGAAGGAGTTGTTGAACCGCCAGACACAGTCGGAGAGGGCGGGCTCCTCTCCCTCGCACGAGTAGTACATCCTGCCGGACAGGGAGTGGGGCAGCCCCTTGAGCACTCTGGCCATGGTCCCACAGCCCAAGGACCGGCAGAGCACTGTGGCCTCCGGTGGGTACCACTCACTGTTGCACACCGTGCTCCAGACCCCGCGGAAGTGTACCTCCACCTGCCCCTCGCAAGGGTCAGCACCCCCCGTCAGGCGCCAGGACTGGTGCTCTGCGGGGGAGGGGGGATGCAGAGTCAGGTCAGGATCCTGTGGGCCAAAATCCCCACCAGCCCAGACCCACAAAGGCAAACACCCCACAGCCAATAGGTCTCCAGATCTGTGTACTCTCCCTCCACCATCTGCCTTCCCCTCTCCTCTGCCCCATCTGCTTTGGCTGACCCTGCTGCAGGACTCTAGATCCTTGCTACTCAAAGTGTGGACCAACAAAATCAGTATCACCTGGGAACTTGTTAGAAATGCAGAATCTCAAGCCCTGTCCCAGACCTACTGAATCAGAATCTATATTTAACTAAAGACCCCTCCCCCCATTCCTGAGCACATAACAGAGAAGAACTGGCTGGACTGGAACCTTCTGGCCTCATGTGGACTTCAAACAGCCTCCTCAGGGGCCTCCCTGACTCCATGTCCCCTTGCTGCTCTGAACCAGGGGACCCCCACTGAGGAAGAGCCTCATCTCTAACGTCAGCTACTCCTGGAGGTGGGCAAGCTTATCCCTCCCGCGAGGGATCACCTGCTGCTTGTAAACTCCACCCGGCGTCCTGTCTTAGGGTATCTATTGCTCTCTCCCCGGATCATGTTTATCTGGGTCTCATCTGCCCTCCTGGACGACGCCCCCGCATGGGCAGGAACGGTCTCTGCAGTGCTGACTCCAGGCCTGGCGCCCAGTAGGCCTACGGTGAGTGTTGGTGGAGGATAGCGCTTCAGCAACGCAGCCCACTGACCTGAGCACACCACGCCGGCGTCCTCCTTGTGGCCGCAGTAGCCGTCTCCCGGCTGCCCCAGGCAGTCCTGCAGGTTGGCCTCGTCCCCGGAGCAGTTCACCTGGTCCCGGTGGATGGGTCCTTGGCCAGGGGCGAAGTGCAGGCCAGGCAGGGCCTGGATGGCCCAGCCGCACTTTAGCTGCCGGCACACCACGTGGGCATCCTCCAGGTCCCACGTGTCGTCGCACACGGAACCCCACTGGCCGTCCTCCAGCATCTCCACGCGGCCCGCACACGGGCTGCCACCGTCCACCAACCGCAGCGTGAGGTTCTCTGGGGCTGGGAGGGGAAGAGGTTTGTGGGTGGGGGGAAGAGGACGAGGAAGGGAGGGGGTGGGAGGGTGGTCAGGACTGGGCAGGATAGTTGTGGGCGGGGCTGTGAACCCAGCGAGAGGGGCAGGACTGTTCTAGCTGGGGACCTGCCGGGCAGAGGAGGGGCACTGGTCAGGACTAGACCCGGAGGCGGGGCTGGATACCTTATGGGCGGAGCTGTGAGCCGGTGGGTGGGGCTAGGGGCCTGGTGGGCGGGGCCTACAGAGCGGGGCTGGGGGCTGGGTTGCGACCACGCCAAGAGACCCTGGGAACCTGGCATATTCTGTACATGGAGGGTAGGGGCAGAGATAGAGGTCCGAAGCGAGAGGGGGGTGGGGTCAGTAAGGAAAGGCTAGAGACCCGGTAAGGGGTCGGACTGGGGACCAAGTGGGCCAACTGGAGATCTAGTAGGGGAGGGGTCTGGAGGCCAGGTCTGAGGAAATGCCCAGATCTGGGAATGATACAATGCTGCAGCCCTTGAGTGTGGGAACCGGCTGCGTTTGCGTCGGTGGTGGGTGGGGTGGAAGTCCGGAGGGCGAGGATTGGGTCCAGTGTCCAGGACAGGTCTTGGGGGCAGTGGCTCAAAGCGAGGGGGGGTAAGGTGGGGGCAGGCAGGGGCGGGCGCGGGGCGGTCCGCTCGTACCTGCACAGGTGACCTGGGCCGGCCTCCCGTCGCTACTGCACGCGTCTTCCACCACCTCGCAGAGCCGCCACTCCGTGTCGTTGCACAGGACGGCGGGCGCCCGGGCCCGCGTGGCGTTCGGGACCCCGCTGGCGTTGCCGGCGGCCGGACCGGGCGGCAGCT